TGCGGCGGCACAGGCAGCCCCGCAGGAGGCCGCTGCGTCCGCCAACCTACGAGAGCGTGCCGCCCGAGCTGCTGCCCAGGCCCCTGAGTCACAGGGATCCCCCCCCCCCCCCCCCCCCCCCCCCCGAGCCATCGCCATGGGCTCGGGGGGGCGAACCAAGTGAGTGCAGCTAAGCTTTTCCAGCAGCGCGGCCCCACACAGGGGCAAACTTTTTACCATGCGCAGCATGGCCAGTCTAACATGACCAAGTGTAATGGCGCCCTCAGAGCCCCAGCCCACCCAGGCCCTGACGATTTTGAGCTACTTCTTGGGACCATTAACACCAGCAGTTGGACGCCGACCAAGCCCTGGCTTTTAAAAACCCCGCCCATATAACTTTGTTCAGGAGCATCACTTAGCAAATCAGGCTGCGGTTAATGAAGCTTCGTCTTGGTGTCGTCGCCACGGCTGGCTCGCTCGAATTACTTATGCCCTGGTCACGCCCGATGGGGGCTCGTCTGGTGGTACGGCGAGTTTGGCTCGAGATTGGCTAGGCTGTTACGACATCACTAAGGGACCAGATATATACCCAGGCCGAGTGACGGCCTGCTGGGTGCAAGTACCTGGCGGCGTCACCATTTTGTGTTGCTCCATCTACCTCAAGGACCCCGATGGATGAACTCAACCTTGGTGGTTTAGCCAAACTCGGTTCCCTCCTCAACTCCTGCTCCTCCCCCTACATCGTTGGGGGGGGATTTTAATACGCCCCCGTCCGAGCTCGCCGAGTGTGATTTCGCGGCGGGCCTTTCAGCCAACATCGTGTACCCACCCAACTCTATCTCCTGCACTAGCACGGCTGCGGGAGGCGGACCCATGCTCGACTATTTTGTATGTAGACCAGGACTCGGGAAAAGGGGTCGCTGGTACCTCGGTCGCGTTGAATGCGGATATTCGCCCCCATCGGCCCGTCCGAGTTAGGTTCCATCAGCTCTCGCGGACCTGCAGGTCCTTACGTTTGCGCGTCCCCCTCCGATCCCTGGACCCATGCCCGTCGGGCCCGCCCCCAAACCAGCCTGCTGGCAGGATACTCTCGACTGTGCCGAGCATGCCCTTGCCTTGGTTCGTTCGGGGGCGCCCAAATCACCCATCCAGCGTCATGTTAGTTTGTTATATAAGCTGTGGGCCAATCAATCTGAAGAGGAGCTTGAGGCTGCGTGCCAGATGGTTCTGCCGATCCGAGGTACTCGAGGCAAGGTCCCCAAGCTCGCGTGGAAGTCGGTGCTCGCCCAAGATCGCAGCCGCAAGCCCGGGCAGCCAGCGCTCTACGCTCTCAGGTGGCTCGAGGGCAGTCTGAAGATGTTCATCGTTTGCGCCAGTACGGACCGCTGGCGCCAGGCCAGGGATATCTCCAAGGCGTTGCTTTCGCCACCCAACGACATCAGTGATCATTTGACTTTGTTTCAGGACCTGGCCCAGCGAGTCAAAGATCATGCGAAGCCTATTCTTGACGGCGCCACTAGCATAGGAGACCAGTGGCAGGCCGAGGGCCATGATACCCTTGCTGCTGCGAGCGAGGCTCTCGGCGCCTACTCGGCCACTGCCAGAGCCGAGGCCGCCGCTATTTGAGGGCCGCGCCCGTGACGGCTGGTGGGGTTGCCATGGGGGAAGGCAACGCGCTCACATTTGAAGCCCCCCACACACACACACACACACACACACACACACACACACACACACACACACACACACACACACACACACACACACACACACACACACACACACACACACACACACGGCCTGGACCCCCACCCGCACCGTCTCCTCCAAAGGAAAGGTTCTTGCGGACCCCAAGAGTTTGTTGCAGACCGAGCGTGCCCGATTCTCGGTGCTTTGGAGGGCCCAGGAGGCCCCCTTCCCCCCCAAGCAGGGCTGCGTCAAGTTTTTGTGACCTTTAGAGTGGCTCGAACCCGAACGCATTCGTAAGGCTTCTAGGTCGTACAAGCTTGCTTCTGCCGTCGGAGTCGACGGGTTTCACATGCGACATTTCCCGGCTCTTAGTGACGGTGCCCTTCACGCACTGATGGCCCTCTGGTCGGTTATGGAAAGCACTGGTGTGATTCCGAAACAGGTTCGCATTTTGAGTTTGGCCCGTCTTGAAAAACCGAATGGGGGGGGGAGGCCGATAGGCATTTTTGCTTGCTTTTACAGGCTGCGTGGAAGGCTGCGGCGGCCCGCCCTCCAGGCTCGGGAGACCAGCGCGCACTGGCCCTACCTTGCCGCCTCGGCCTTTGCTGGAGCAGGGGACGCGGTGCGGCGGCAATCACTCCGATCGGAGGCTGCCGTTACCAATTCGCAGGTGTCTTGCAGCTTGCTTTGGGACCTCCACAAATTCGTCGAAACCATCTGCTTCGATAAGCTCAAGGAACGCTGCAAGCGCCTGGGCTTCCCGCCGCAGATAGCCCACGTCTGCCTCAACATGCATGCAGGACAGCGTTTTTTATCATGTTGGGCGCGATGGTCCTAGGACCATTTTTGGGTGCCCGGCCGGGGTGCTCGGCCGCTCTAAGAGGTGTCAAAGCAGGGTGCTCGGCCGCCACCAGTTTTGCGCGTGCTTTTGTTACCCCGCCCCATCGATCTTTTTTCCCCGAGAGTGCAGCGTTGCCTCGATGTCTACATTGACGATTACGGCTATTCTGTTCAGGCTCGTCCGCGTTCGATCGCTAACATCGCCGCCGAAGCCGCCGCCGAGCTTCACCACGTTAGCACGGAAGATATGGATTGCACTATTTCCTTCGATAAGGCTTCTCTTGTCTGTCCCTCCTCCCCACACGGCATTCGCATTAAGAAACTGTTGGGCCCGTTGGCTGGACAGCCAAAGGCCACCGATGTGAATCTGGGCGCTGATGAGACTGCGGGAATGGGGAGGAGAGGTGGCAGGAGAGGTAAAAAATATGCTAAAAGGCGCTGCGTACTTAAACAGCGGCAAGCGAGGTTCCAGCGATGCAAGGCCATGCTTGGCCGACACACATGCCGCATTTTTAGCACTGGCCCGCTTGCAGGACTGAATTATGACGCCGACACCCATAGTATTTCTGACTACGAACTTGCCTGTGCCAGGAGAGCTTTAGGTACCACCCTGAAGCCCTCCTCGGGCCAGCGTTCCCTCGCCCCCCTCCTTATCCTCTACCATGACCCCACGTGGAGGGCCGCTGTGGCCCCGATCGTTCGGTTTTCGAAAGAGGTTTGGGGGGCCCAGTCGAGGTTGTCTGACCATGCGTTACCCTTCTCCGTGCTGGGCGCGGCTTGGAAAACTAGCTTTGTCGACCACCCCGCTCCCCTCTGGCGTCAGGTCCGAGGCCTCATGCAGGCCATGCGTTTCTCTCTTACTAGGATCGGATGGCACATGCCATCATGGCACACCCTCGTCAATGATCTCGATGACGAGATCCCGCCCACGACTACGTCGCCAGCTCTAGTGGCCGGTCTTCTGTATGAGGGGGCCATCCGCTCGCACCAGAGGGCTGTGGGCGACAAGTTAGGGAGTGGGAGGATGTGCTTTGACGTCGCGGCCTCAGAGTCGCGCCGCTCGGCTCACCAGCCGCGCGATCGTGGAGCGATCAGGATGATCGCCTGCGACGGTGCCTGGACTAAGGACCGCGCCATCGAGCGCGGGCACCTGCTTCAAGACAATTTGTGCCAGCTTTGCGGCGCTGCTCATGATTGTTTGATGCGCCGACTGTGGCAGTGCCCGAGCGTTTCCGAACAGCGCCAAGAGGCCTGTGACGCTGCCATTGTGCAAGACGCCCTTCGTGTTATTGACGAGGACAGCGACAGCGAAAATATTTTATTTTCCATTGGTATTTTCCTCCACCCAGGAGACTGGTTGCCGAGGCCCTCGGAGGCTGGAAATATCGTCCACGTTTTTGCTGGTGGTCCTGGGTCCGCCCCGGGAGCCGCCGGCGTTTCTGGTGATGTTTTCTGGGACGGTTCGTCCTACAAGCATGTCATCAAGGAGCTGTCAAGGGCTGGCTGGGGCTTCGTTTCTGTTGACCCCCAAGGAGAAGTTACCGTTTCAGTCTCGGGGGCGGTGTCCAAGCCCTTCGCCCAGACCTCTCAGGCTGGGGAGTACAGTGCCTATGCAGCTACTGCTCAATGCTTGGAGGAGCCCGCCACGGGCTTTGCGGATTGCGAAGGGGTCGTTAGGGCCCACTCTGCACCCAGAGCTGTCCGTTTCTCTTATAAGAAGAAATATTCTGGTAGTGCTGCATTTGCTTCCTCAAAGTGTTGGTGCGATGTGAGGAAAGTAAAGGCTCACACTGTCGAATCTGCCGACATGACGGATGAGGAGAAATTTCTCAAGCTCCGCAACGACGCAGCAGACAGAGCTGCGAAGCACGGTGCGTCTCTCCACCCGCAGGCCAGTGCGGACGAGATGGCGCAGATAGATCGAACAGTTCCCTGTGCCCGTGCTGTATGTAGAGTTGCCGCCGCGGTATTACCCAGCTGGCCGAAGTTAGACCTCAGTGAAGTGCAGCATGCCATTCCCATGCCACCTCCTCCTTCGCTTGAGCCCCGCTTCGATCACCAATGGGAATGGTATCGCGGTATCTGGCGGTGCATGTGCTGTCTCCGTTTTCGTCGCTGCGCTGATCGACCTTCCTTGACAGCATGTCGCGGTGAGCCACCGCCTGCTGTGCAACTGATTTCGAATTTAGGTCACCGCATGCTCGCGTTGCAATGCAGTGATCAGTCGCCACTCTTCGTTCGCGTCAGGTGTAAAACCTACACTTGTCTCGGCAGAGTGTTGCGGCTTAGCCGCCAATGTGATCCCGCCAAGACTGGCCGTAATGACTGGGACCGCTGGCGGCTTGCGCAGCGTGGGCATCACCCTAAGCTCAAAGGGGTTAGTGTCGAGCCCATGCCCGATATGGATTCGTGAATCCCACGGCCATATTTTTTCTTTCCCTCTGGTCACCTGTAGGGCGGTGCCGAATGGAAAAAAAAACTCCTCCCCCTCCTCCTTCTCCCCCTCCTTTTCTTCCTTCTCCTCCTCCTCCTCCTCCCCCTCCTCCTTTTCCCCCTCCTCCTCTTCCTCCTCCTCCTCCACCTCCTCCTCCTCCTCCTCCTCCTCCTTCTCCTCTTCCTCCTCCTCCTCCCCCGCCTCCAGGCGGGCCTGCGACGCCCGCCGCCGGCTGCGCTGGGCGGCCCCAACCGAACCAAACCCAAGAGTTCCGCCACGCAGGACTCGCGAGTCGCCGCCGCCGCCGCCGTCGTCGTCGTCGTCGTCGTCGTCGGCGGCGGCTTGAGCATCGAGGTCCGAGATTCTCGGGGGGATCGAGGGTCTTCTCGCCCTTTTCCTTGCAGGCCGCCGGAGACTCCAGGGACGTCGGCCATGGTCGGCGCGGTCGTCGTCGGAGTCGGTTTCAGAGTTTCTCGGAGCGTCTTGCCGTTTTCCAGCCTGCTTGAGAGAAGGCTCGAGAGGCGCCAGGATTGTCCAGAAGGCATCCCGTGAGAGGCGCCCGAGAGCACGCGGTAGCGCGTACGCTTGCCAACATGCCTGGATTTGCCGCGTGCTCGCACGACTGCGTGGGCGCGTTCGCGCGCACGCGTGCGCGGTGGCCCGCTTGGCCGCGCACGTGACCAAAGGCCCCGCGTGCTTCTGTGGTTGCGGGCTCGATCGCTCGCGTGCGCGTGTGATCGCACGCACGCGCGCAGTGGCATCCGCACGTTTGCTCACATGCAGCGCGGGGTCGGGCCGAGCGCGCGCTGATCTCGGAATGCCAAGCTCACACCGGTGCACTGACCGAGCGGGAGGCATCTGAGCGTCGCAGAGGCTGGTCGCTGCGTCTGGCGGCGCGTGCCGCCGGCGGCTGTCTGCATGCGTGCGTGCCGGCGCGCACGACCGCACGCTCGCAGTCTTCGCTTGGCCGCCAGGCTTGCGAGCGCGAGTCCCGTTGTTGCTGCTGCTGCTGCTGCTGCTGCTGCTGCTGCTGCTGCTGCTGCTGCTGCTGCTGCTGCTGCTGCTGCTGCTGCTGCTGCTGCTGCTGCTGCTTCGTGTCGCCCCCCAGCAGAGGACCTGCTGGAACGAGCGGAGCCCAAAGCTTCACGCCTCTCCCCGCCCACCTCCCTCCCCCGTCCCCTGCGCATCCTCCTCGTCTCAGGGGGGAGAGAAGCACACAGACACAGTTCATCGTCGACTCCCAGGAAAATGTGGGAAAATAGGGGAAGTGGGGGGGAAGACGAAGCCCCAGCCCGCAGCAAATATTAGAACATATAAAAAGGATCCTGTTACTTGTGTGTACTCGTTTGCGTGTCCCTGGGCCCCTTCCTCGGCATGGCCACCCCCGCCCTGGCCGTCGCACGGGCAGGCTCGCGCCCGCGCCGCAGCGGTGGCGACCCTGGCGCGGGTGCTCGGGTTGCACGCCGCCGGTGGCCCAGGGTTGGCAGGCAGCGAACGATCCGCGCGGCTGGAAGGCCGCGCCCGAACGATCTACGCGGTGCGTCAGGAACCAATCCACAAGCCGTCGCGGCACGAATTTGCCTCACAGGCCTTCCTCTCCTCCGTCTTCGTCGTCCAGCTGCGGCCCCACTCTGGCGCCTCCCCTGGAACGGCCCTTTCGGCGTGGCTCGCGGGGGCCCAGATAGGACCTCAATAGGATTAGACGGCCCCCGTCTGGCCCCATCCCAGCCCCATCTGGATTTGGGGAGTCGTTCAGCGGGATCGGGATGGGGACGGAAAGAATGGGAACGAACACCGAAGGATTCGTTTTCGATGTCGCCGCGGGCTTTGTCCTTGTGGGGCGAAAATCGCCTGCCCGGCAGCGACCGCTGTTGGTTTGGGACAGCATTCCCATTACAAGTGGGTTTGAACGGGGTTCTAAGCGTGCTCGTTCTTGTAACCTCTGAAGGTCCTTAGTTTTGCTCCCCCCTGTTTCTCTCGGCGGTGAATGTAACTCGTCCCGCCTCCTCCGCGTCCTCCTCTTCCTCCTCCTCCTCCTCCTCCTCCCTCCTCCTCCTCCTCCTCCTCCAGACAGCCGTGGTGCGCACCGACACCACCAGCAGACCCTTCGACCTCCGTCGCGGCACAAAACAAGGAGATCCGCTGAGCTCATTACTTTTCTTCAACGCTCTGCTTCAACATATCCTAGCACCGCTGGTTCCAAACTGGCAGCAGAAACGCCGGGGCGTTTAATTGGGCCACACCGACGATTCGACACTCACGAACCTCCGGTTCGCAGACGACATATTGCTGACCAGCCAAACACTACACAATTTGAAAAGATTGTGTTCCGACTTGATCGCATCTGCCACGCCACATGGGTTGGAGCTACACCCAACCAAAAACAAAATCATGACCAACCAGCTTCGCAACCGTGACCAGACGGCTACAGTAACATTGATGGACATCGAAATCCTACCACGAACCAGCACCATCAGACGATCACCTTCCACGATGCCACCGCGACCGAAGTCAAGCACCGGATTCAAGCTGCGTGGGCGTGTTTTAGCGGCCATTGACAAGAATTCACCAGCAAACACTACCCATTGAGACATCGATTGCAGCTTTACGAGGGTACAGTTATCCCTACTATGACGTACGGCGCAGAAATTTGGACTCTGACAGAGCCCCTCAAGAAGCAGCTACGACAAATGCAACGACGCATGATCAGAATAATCATAGGGACACCGAGGAGACGCACAGCTGCACCGACACCGCACCACGACCCAGCAGCATACCAAAACAACACCCACCACCACAGTAAGGGATCCACCAATCCACACGACTCCAACGATTCCACCGAGTCCGACGTACGCAGTGACCTTCCCAACCCGCTCAATCTGCAAGACGCAGGCAACGACGACGAGGACACGCAGCCTAACGGCAGGGGGGATGACGACCTGGAGCTGTGGTCCGACATCATTCGCAGAAGCACGCGGAGGGCGGAATCACCCCTGATCATGCACGATATACCAGACGTGTTGTACATACATCGTAGAATGGTATGGCGGTGGGCGAGAACGGCGTCTCACCATCCCACGACGCGCTGGACCCGGAGAGCGCTCGAACGGAACCCGAATCTCAAGACACGCCAGCGCGGACGACGGCAGCCAAAGCGGTGGGACGACGAAGTCCGCAGCTGCCTGCACAGTCTGGACAGCGAGGCCGTAGAGGAACAGAACAGGGCAGCCACCCAGCCACGACAATACGAGCACAACAGCACGAACGGCCTACGATGGATCCGGGCCGCTTGCTGCACAGAGTGGTGGACATCCTGGGAGCCGGCATACGTTTCACAACCCTGAATATTTTGGTGATCATTCTTGTCGAGGCCACGGCCTCCACGCCATGCCCTGATGGGCACGGGCGGGCTCCCAGGAGGAGCGCGCACGACTCCGGCGTTCGCTCCGCTTCGCTTCGCTTCGCTTCGCTTCCTCCTCCTCCTCCTCCTCCTCCTCCTCCTCCTCCTCCTCCTCCCCCCCTCTTCCTCCTGCTCCAACATCTGCGCGGCGGGTACCGCGGAGAAAGAAGTATGTCCCCCTCCTGGTGGGACCCCAGTCCGTCCACAAGGGCGTCGGTCCGCAGACATCTTGGCTCAAGCCGCTGTTTCGCCGAAGCACCTCCCAGGCGATCTCTTGGAAGCAGAGCCCGTGCCGCGCTCGGCGTGTCTTTGCCGCAATGGCCCGCTCCGCGTCCCTGCTGATCGCTTGCGCTGTCGCCGCCATCGCCGCTCTGTCGGTGGGCTCCCTCGTGCTGTCCTTCGTCGGCGCCTCGTCCCCGGCCTCGGCGGGCCTCCGGACCGGGCAGCGCGCCCCCGCCGTGGAGATGCACTTCTTCGGCGGCCCGCCGGTGACGACCACGCCCCCGCCGCCGGTGGGCTTCAGCCTGGGGGGCGTGGGCGGGAACAACTACGTGATCTCGATCACCATCCTCTTCTTCGGCTCGGTCCTCGCGAACGCCAACGGCTTCTTCGGGCCGTGGTGAGATCCCGGGCGCTCTCCCCGGGCCAGCAGGCGGGCCTGCCGAGGACGGCCTCCTCGACGGCGCCACGTTCTCCTATGTGTTGCGTGCCATTTACGGGCGCCGCGTCTGCAGCCAGCGCGCATCTAGCTTTCCTTCGGTGCGGCGGTTGTTGAAGAAAAGTCCACGAGGGCGTCGAATGGATCATTAGTAGTTGCCACTATATTTCTGGGGGGGTCCGGGGACACCTTATGGATCAAGACACGGGTTCCGAGGGGCGTGTGTCCGTAACCGACGGCCCGTGGCCTCGCGCCTGGTCTGCCGCTTGGTCTCCCAGGTGGTCTCCCGTGTGGCCTCCCTCATGCTCTCCCGCGCATCCTCCCGTGTGCCCTTCCGCGTGCCCTCCCGCATGGCCTCTGGCACAGCTCTGGCACCGCAGAAAACGCCCTTCTGCCTTAGTGGGCCCTGGAAACGACAGCGCCGTTTTTTTACCGGTTCCGTTTTGCCGTTTTGTTTGCCGGTTCCGACGCCGTTCTCTTACCGGTTCCGTCGCCGTTTTTGTTCCGGTTCCGGCCCCGGTTCCAAGCCTGAAGCCGTTTTTTGGCCGTTTCCGGTCGCCGTTGTTTTGCCGTTTCCATGTTCAAGGGATTTTTTCGGACACGGTGAAAAAACGGCCTTGCCGATTCCGGGGCCCACTAAGCCCTCTGCAGTGTCGAAGCACGTGCGCTTTCGCGTGCTCCCCGCCAGGGCGTAAGTCGCCCTCGGGCGTGCAAACCTCGGGCTCAGGGCCAAGACTTCCGGCGTCGCTCGGAAGCTCTCGGTGGCGGTGTCTTCCGAGGAGTCCCGGGCCTCGTGCAGCCCCTCCCCCGGGCCTCGGGGCCCATCAGCAACAGAATGGAGATGGAGAGCAGGAGGAGGAGGAGGAGGAGGAGGAGGAGGAGGAGGGGAGGAGAAGGAGGAGGAGAGGGAGGAGGAGGAGAGAGGAGAGAGGGAGGGGAGGGAGGGGAGGGGAGGGAGGGGGGGGAGGAGAGGGAGGAGGAGAGGAGAGAGAGAGGAGAGGAGGAGAGGAGGGAGAGGAGAGGGAGAGGGAGGAGAGAGAGGAGAGGAGAGGAGAGGAGAGGAGGAGGAGGAGGAGGAGGAGGAGGAGGAGGAGCGCGGGGCGCTGTCTCCTCAGAACGAGGACCCAACACCAGAGGACGGTTGGGAAAGGTGGAGATGGCAGGCATCGCCTCGAGAGAGCCGACGGGAGCTCCCGACGTCGCTGGCCCGGGGGCACCCTGCTTCGGGGCCCCCTCGGGGCCCTGGCCGGGCGGGCGGCGCAGGCCGTTGGCCGGGAGGGTGGTGTCTCTGACGAGGCCCAGGCGGGGGCCTCCGTCTGCGACTTGGGATCGGGCTGGACGACAGGGGGTGACTGGGAAAGGGGTGGTTACGAAATCTGCTGCATGCAGCTGGTTTCGGCCCCACCGAGGGGCCCATTCCTCGATACATGGCCGCCTCCGGCGACGGGAGGCGCCAGGAATATCAGCTGCATGAGCTGATTTTCAAACCCCCCCTTTGCTATCCCCCCCTTTCGCCCAGCCCGACGGGAGGGCGCTCCGGATTCCATGGTCCTAGTAAACGGGGGAGGTCCGACTTGGGGGCGCCGCTCTGATCTGAGCCGTTTTTGTGGGTTGCCGGGGGGGTCCGGGCAAGAGGCCGCCCTTTCACGGCTGGTCTGGGGGGGGCTCCAAAACTGCTCGCCCGGGAGGGTCGTGACCCCCTCGCTTGCATGAATTACGAAGTTGGGAGTGGCCCCCCCTTTCCCCGCTTCCACTGCCCCCCTGGTCAGTCGTCCGTCGCTTCCGCGCGCTTCCTGGAGTTCGGCCCTCGGTCTCAGGGAGGCTTCTGTCCAGCCCTCCAGAGGGCGTTGTTCGTGGAGGCAAGCGGGCGACGTAAAAGGGCGGGAGAGCCTGCTGCGCGGAGGTTCGGGCGTGAGGTGCCCGCGTACTCTTGGGTGGGATATCAATCGAGTGGTGGGCGACTAACCTTCCGACGGAGTTTGCCCGTCCCCCCCCTCCTCCATCTGCTCCTCCTCCTCCTCCTCCTCCTCCTCCTCCTCCTCCTCCTCCTCCTCCTCCAACCCCCCTCCACCCGTTCCGACAGCACGTGCCCAACCCCCCCCAGCGCATCCAGGGAGGGGGGTGGGGGGGGCGACATTGCCCCATCCAGAGTAGGGTCGCGCGCGCCCTCTTCCCCACGGCTCGTGCTGCGTGAGGGGTCTGCGTACGCCACCGCGTGAGGTCCACGTGCCCTCGCGCGTGAGGGGTGCTTTTGTCGTCGACCGCGTGGGGATCCCGTCCGCCCACATGCGTGGGGCCAGAGGGCGTCAGCGCCTCCCCTGGCTGGCCGCCCCCTTCCCCCACCTTGGCACCTCTCGGAGGTGTGCGGCCGTTGTCGACGAGCACCATCGAGGAGCATGTTTGGGTCATCATAGTGCGAAACACATTTTTTTGGTCGGCGGGGCGAGAGCGAACCTCTTCAGCTAAAAGCTAGGCGGGCTACGCACAGCTCTAATTGGGGAGACAGGGCAAAGGTGGGCGGGGCCTCAGGCGGCCAAGAGGGCGGGGCCCGGGGTGCAGGCGGTGCCGAGGAGTTTGCACATCATAGTGCGAAACACGACGCGCGCGAAGCCGAAAAAAAAGGCACGGGGAATGGACGCCCGAGCGACGGCGAGCCGTGCTTGGGCGCGCTGGACCCCGGCGCGCCTGCCGCGGAGCTTGGAGCACCTGGCGGCGGGTGCCGCGGCAGAGCGCGCAGGCACGGCGGCACGCAGAGAGCGCCACTCTCCTGGCGCGGGGGCGGCGCGGGAGAGCGGCGGGGAGCACCGCCGCCCTGGCGGGGCCCTCTTCCTCTTCCTCCTCCTCCGCCTCCTCGTCCTCGTCCTCCTCCTCCGCCTCCTCCTCCTCCGCCTCCCCCTCCTCCGCCTCCTCCGCCCCCTCCTCCTCCTCCGCCTCCTCCTCCGCCTCCTCCTCCGCCTCCTCCTCCTCCGCCTCCGCCTCCTCCTCCTCCTCCTCCTCCGCCTCCTCCTCCTCCTACTCCTCCTCCTCCCCCCCCCTCGCCTCGCTGCGAGCCGTGGGCAGGCGGCGGGAGGGGAGCGTCGAGGGCGAGGGGATCGGCACGGAGGGGCATCGCCACGCAGAGGGTCGCCGAGGCCGCTCCCGAAGCAGGCCGCGGCGCCGAGGCGGGAGGCAGGGAGCCTTCAGCGTTTGGAGCGTCGTGTCCTCGCCGTCGTCATGCGAATGCCGTGGGCCAGTGCGGGGCTCTGCCTGAGCCGACGGCCAGCGAGGGGGTCCAGCGCCGATCCGAGGAGCCCGCGCAGACCTCCGAGCGTGCATGTCTGCGTCGTCGTCTGCTCCCCGTGCACGTCCCCGCTTGTTTGCAGGTCTGGGAAGGAGCGAAGGGGCTTCGCCACAGTCAGCCTGCATCGTGAGGATGGGCAAGCTTCCCAAGGGTACCCTTGCATCCTTGCCCCCGCGGTCCGTCCTTGGCCACTTCCGTTGGCCACGCCCCGCTCGACAAGCCCCGAAAGGGGCGTCCACGGCCCTTTGCATCCTGACCGCGCACATCCTCACTGCACGGGTTGACCGCAGCCGCCGCGATGCCTCGGCCCCGGCCACGAGGGCGCGCCGTGGCCGGCCCCTCGAGCGGAGCGAGGCGCCGAGGCTCGTCGTCCCCCCCCGCCGGCCCTCCCTTGGGAGGCGAGCCCGCGGCTCCCGCCGCTGGCCGCCCCGGGCGGCCCCAACCGAAGCCAGACTGCAAGTGCTGCCGCGCAGGACGCGTCAGCGGGCCGCGGCCGCGGGGTGGTCGCCGCCGCCCGCCGCCGCTGGTCGTCGCCGTGTCCGTCGTCGTCCGCCGTCGCCCGTTGCGGTCGTCGCCGCCTGTTCGAAGAAGCGAGAACGCCATAGACAGAAACTTTCGGCGCTCCGCGCGGGTTTCTTGGATCTCCGCTGGGCCCCCCTGGCGGCGCCTCTGGCGCCACCCCTGGCGCGCTCCGCGCGCCAGGGAGGGGGGTCCAGCGCAGATCCAAGAAATCCGCGCGGAGCGCTGAAAGTTTATGTTTATGCCGTTATTTATGATTCTAGTTGTTGTCCGACGTGCATCGTGTTGAGTTGGAGTAGTTCAGTCAACCCGCATAAGAAGGACGCGCGATAAGGATGCAAGTGCCCTGGAGCGCCATTCTGAAGTGTTTCGAGCGGGCCGCGGCCAACGGAACTGGCCAAGGCTGGGTCGAGGAGACAAAGATGCAAAAGGTAGCCGTGGGAAGGGGGCCCCTCCTTCAGATGCGGGCTGGCTACACTCTCTGGCGTTGTGGGACTGGTGCGTGCGGGTCGGCGGTGGGAGGGACAGTCGTGCGTTGATCGCATACTGCTGCGCGCAGTATTGCGCGGCTGCTGCTGGGGGGCGCGACCTCTTTGCTCGGGCAACAACTATGGCGAATTGCGTAGGGGGAAAGATACACACTTGCCTACGCGCAGGTACTGCATCCAGGTGCCAACGATTGCAGTGCGATTGCACCCGTCCCCCCCGCGGACCCATCTGTGACAGACCCACTACCCCGGCTTGAAATTGTCCATCGTCCGTCGCGGTCTTCCATCGCAGGTCGTCGTCGTCGTTGTCGTCTTTGGATGCTTTCGGAGGCATCTGGATGCAATTCAGAAGCCTCACAGTTTTCTCGGTGGGTTGAGCTTGTTGCGCATGGAAGTGAACTGGTTGGCCATGGTCAGACGGTTATGATGCCAGCCTCGAGCTTCGATATGGTGCGGGTCTGGCCACGAAGGCCTGAGCCCGGCCGAGCTCAATGGCCTCTGATGGCACTCTTTTCCAGCACGAGCGTGTCTGCTGGTCTCGTATCGGATGCGAGGTGACCCCCCTGTGCCCACCCCGGCCCGCTGACAGGGGCTTCGCATCGCCCCATGACAGCACAGTGGGCCCGCATGGCGAGGATGAGCGAGTCTCCCAAGGGTGCCCTCGCATCCTTGCCTCCTCGACCCCATCCTTGGCCACGTTCGTGGGCCGCGCCCCGCTCAAAGGGCCTCGAGATGGCCTCCCAAGGCCCTTGCGTCCTCACCGCGCATCCTCACGATGCGGGCCGACTGCAGGATGGATGAGCGGCCTGCCTCCCCCAGCTCTGCAGGTACTTCGCCGGGCTCCCGAGCATTTGGTCCGCCGAGCGGCAGCTTGGGTGCAGGATCCTGCAGGATCCTTCGCATTGACCCGGACTTGGGCGCAGGATCCCACAGGATTCTGCAAGGCTTGGCTGACCCGCGTCTGGATTGACCTGGGTCAGAAGATCTTCGAGGAAGGCCACGGTGATTCAAAGTTGAACGATCCACGCGGTGTCAGAGACCAGCGCACGAGTCGTGGTGTCCCGAACCCGCCGAACCCCAGGCAAGCATTGCCAAAGCTTGGGGTTAGGTCCGGCATGTCCTCCTACAGGTGGATGTTGGAAGGGACTGTAAACATAGCCTAAACAGACCCAGAAATAATCAAGAATACAAGAGAAAATCGCCCCCTGCTGATTTCCGGCACCACGCAGATCTGAGCGGGACCTCGCAATCCTTGGGGGGCTGCGAGCCTCACGAATGCCGCTCGCAGAAGTATATGCGCCCATGTCACGTCATCACCTCCGTATAACGTCTCCCGAGCTACTCATGCCCCGCATTGCGCAGGGGTTGGGTACGATGTCGTCTCACAACTGCGCCAGCGGCCGTCATGCTCATTAGACTATGCTCACAAAAATTAGAAACGCAAACAGTGCTGAACCTGCCCGGCCATTCGCCAGCGTGGCAGCGCGGGCCCCCGGATCTCTTATTCCGACGACGGGACAGGCCGACAAAGAAATGCCGGCAGGGCAAAAAACAGGAACGGGCAGGACAGCGAGGAGCCGAGGAGCGAGAAAGGGAGGGGGAGGGCGGGAGAACGACAGGAAAGGGCAGACCAGGCCAACAGACGGAGGGACGGGGAGACAAGGGGGGAGGAAGCCAAGGAGGGAGATTTGCCAGGGTAGTTGCATTGTTTTTCGAGAGGGATGGGGGGGGTCAACTCCTCGTCTTCGTCGTCCTCCTTCCCCTCCTCACAATCGCTCTCTTTTCTCTCCTCATCGCGTTTCTTCATCCGCCCCCCTCACTCTCCGCCCCCTCCCCCTTTTCGGCGGCGCGCCGAGGGGAAGGCAGAGGGGACCGGCCTTCTCGGAAGGCTCAGAAGGCCTCTGGCCTGCTGAGAAGCTTTCCGAACCTTCTCCGAAGCCGCAGAGGGCTCCTCAGAAGGACGGGGTTGGTTCCCGAGAAGCCCCGCCGCCGTCTGAGAAGGCCTGCCCCGCCGCCGGCCCCCGCTCGTCACCCCTCCCTCCTCATCTTCCTCCTGCGGCTGGCACTGTCAGCGTACATCGGCGGAGCACACACACAGAGTTCCTCCACATCCTCTCTCGCCTCGCCGAGGGCGTCCTGGACAAACGGCACAGCTCCTTCGGCCCCCAAGCTTGGGCTCGGTCACCGCTTCGATGAGCGTGCCGTCCATCCATCCTCCTCCGTCCCCCCCTTGCTCCTGCCCCTCCCGTTCCTCGCCGTATTAACCTCTGGATTTGTTTGTCCCCGTCGTGGTGGGGCTCCCGTCCGTCACTAAGGTCGCAGGACATAGCATGAGTTTCCACTGCTGGGGAGGGGTTCTGAAGACCTAGCTCGGTTCGTTCACACCTCCCGCCACCCGTCCCACCTCTCCCCGTTCCCATGCTCCCCGCTGTCTGCACCTTTCTCACAGCGCGGGCCCCCACGGAGGTCTCGATCGCCTCCCACAACCGGTCCTTCGTCCCGAGCCGTATTTTTGGGTGAGGGTCCCGTGGCCCGGATGCCGAAGATTGCCAAAACAAATTTGCCGTGAATATTGTAAGAGTTGGAGGGGGCTTGATCCGGGCAGGGCCCGAGCCAGACGGTGTTTGGGCGATCTCGTGGACCGTTTTCGCTTTGACTTCGCCTTGCGGCAGAGGCGGCTCGAAGACAGAAGGAAAACGAAGACAAGCCGAAAACGAAAAACACAGTTCAGCTCGAAGCCCCAGAATCGGTTTGGGGACTTGTCCTGGGGTGCGTTTGGGCCAGGCTCTCGAGGAGGACCCAGCGGTGGCCACGAGGAGGCCCGGCAACGACCAGCACCGTCTTGCAGGTCTGGACGCTCGATCCCAGACGCAGTCGCCTGGCATCACTCGGACGTGTGCATTTTTCTCTCGGCGAGGACCATCGAGGAGCATCCTTGATCATTTGGCGAAAAAGCCACGCACGAACCCGAACAAAACACTGGGAATGGACGTCCGAGCGATGGCAGGGTCGGCGGTGGCCACGAGGAGGCCCGGCAGCGACCAGCACCGCCCCGAAGAGCGTCGACCTGCGGCCCTCGCTCCTCGCAGGGCAGCGGTGGCCACGAGGAGGCCGAGCGCCGGCCAGAACCGTCTCAACAGGTTCCGGCGTTCCTCCAGCGTTCCTGCTCCCCGGACCATATCCATGGGTTTAAGTCGGGCCTGTCCCCCTACAGGGGGATTTTCGACGAAAAATAAAAGATACCTTAAAAATAATCAAAAAATATTCCGAAAATGGTCTGGGGATTATTTTTGGAGTATTTTTTTACCTTTTGGGGGTATTTTGGGGTGTATTTTTAATTTTTCGTCGACAATTTCCCTGTTGGGGGACAGGCCCGACTTAACCCCAGGCAGCTCCAGCTGTGGCGGCGAAGAGCCTCCCAGAGCGCCCCAGCAGGAGGAGAAACGTTCCCTCCCCCCCGCTCCAGGCCCCGTGTGCAGCGCTGTGACCTCCGGCTCCAACTCCTCCTCCTCCTCCTCCTCCTCCTCCTCCTCCTCCTCCTCCTCCTCCTCCTCCTCCTCCTCCTCCTCCTCCTCCTAACTCCTAGCCATCCTATTCATGCCTTTCCTTCTGAATCTCGATCCTCGCCGTCGCGGAGGGCGGCCCCCGAGGCCCTCTCTCTCTCTCTCCCCTTCCTAGGCCGACGGATCCGAGTCCTGGCACGGCCGATCCGATTCGGCTCCGACTCGCGACGCCGCCCGATCCGACGCAGGGTCCGATCGATCCGACTTCCCGATTCGATGCTGGCTGATGCTGCCTGCAAGCACCAACTCCAGCCGGAGACGGCGGATAGTGGGACATGCCTCGACCCACGGCCCCAGTCTGCCGGGGTGCGCCGGCGGTCTGTTTTTTGATCCACGAGCCCCTCCTTTTCTACGCGGCCCCGAAGATAGAGTCAACCCGCGTAGTAAGAATGGGCAACCTTCCCAGGGGTACCCTTGCATCCTTGCCGCCTCGGTCTATCCTTGGCCACTTTCGTTGGCCGCGCCCCGCTCGAAATCAAGCAGTGGCGAAGCGTCCTGGCTCGCCTATAGCCCAACCAAACAATGTTCTAAGCATCTTCTGTGGCTTCCACGAAATATTCTTAGAACATGTCTGGCGGTGTCTGTCTTGTTTGAGCACATCGGGCTTATGTTCTAAGAACCTTGTTTTTGTTCTCAGAAAATATCTGGGCTCTACGAACATTTCGTGGCAGGACTATAGGAATGCCGGGGCGGTCGGTCCCTGCTCAACGAAAAGCTTCGACGTGGGCGCCCAAGGCCCCTGCATCCTCGTCGCGCATCCTTACCACACGGGCCGACTGCAGACGCCGGTGGACCTCCCAATCTGCCCCCTCGGGTCCGAGGACCCCCCTGCGGCCGCCCGGCGCCTCGGCCGCGCCGGCCCGCGCGGCGTGGCGATGCTGCAGGCCCTCGCCGCCGCCGCGCGCCACCGCCGCCGCCGTCGCTCGGCGCCGGCGTCGTCGGCCCACCAGACTGGATTTCAATCGTCGAGTAGGGGAGCAGAGGTCGAAGAAGAAAACGCTGCATAAACCCAAACTATTGGCGCTCCGCGCGGATTTCTTGGATCCGCGCTTTGGCCCCCCCAGCGACGCCTCCGGCGCCGCCCCTGGCGTGCTCCGCGCGCCAGGGAGGGGGGCCCGGCGCGGATCCAAGAAATCTGCGCGCGCCAAACGTTTATGTGTATGCCGTTTTTTCTGTTCTTCTAGAGTAGGGGAGTAGGGGATCGATCACAGAAATGGTGTACCCTAAGCTTGATTCTCTGTCGAGCTTGCGAAAAAAGTACGGAGAATGCTCCGTAGATCCACGCAGCATTCTCTTCGCATATGTTGTTGAAGATTCGACGGAACAGGTCAATTTTGGGGTACCGTGGGGTCCCGACCACAAGAAATTTCCCACCAGAAACCCAACCCTGTGTTTCTTAGCATGGGCTCCACTGTAAATCAATTCGGTAGTCGATCCCCTGCTCGAAGACTCAGGGCCTGAATCTAACGCCCTCGTCTGCCAGCCCGCGCGACCTGCCCAGAAGAGGCCTCCACGAGCAGCACGTTCGCCCCGGGAACAGCTCGTGGTCGCGTTCGCTGTCCTCCTCCTCCTCCTCCTCCTCCTCCTCCTCCTCCTCCTCCTCCTCCTGCCGTCAGGCCGAGGCAATTTTCAAATGCCTCGCCACCGCGGATAAGCGGTGCTGCCTGGGCTCCGTGTGGCACCGCCTGAATGCGGTGTGGGTCCGATGATGTCAGATCCTTATCCCGCCCGCGTTCCGGGTGCGATAAGGATAGGGCGGAGGGCGGCACCTCCCGCTGGGAGGTTCGTGGTCGTTCGTTGTCGTCCTTCGTGTCTCGTTTCGTCGTCATGTCCGTCGCCCTTGTTCCTCTTTGGGAGTTGCGGCACGGCCCTGGATTAGGTTCCAGGGTGGACGTTGTTTGCGCTCCTGGGCCGGAGAGTGGCCCCCTCCCCCTCCCCCTCCCTGCTGCCGCTGCTGTTGCCGTTGCAGCTGTCAGGCCAGGGCTTTTAGTGCCCTGCCACCTCGGCCAAGAGGTGCGGCCTGGGCGCGGGAAGACCCCAGTGGCACCTCCTGGTCTGAGGTGCACCGCCGTTTGACGACCACGGAGGCGGGGCCCGCGGCTTTCCGCCTGTAACCTCTTGGTTGCAGTGCTCTTTGCCGCGGGCACACTGTTGCCGTGCTTGTGAGGGTGCGGGCGCTGGGCAACGCTCCGTGTATTGTCCCTTGGGCGCCGATCCCGAACCCCCGTGCGCCATTTTGGCGCGGGGTGTAGGGCGGTCCTTGGTTTTGCTTTCTTTTCCTTGATTTCCTCCCTAAGGCACAGCGTTTCTGGCGCTATTGGGAGTTAGTCAAGGAAAGGAGGCCGGAGGTCAGGTCCCAGCTTGTGTCCGTGATCCCCTCTTTTTGCGCGTGTGCCCTTGGTGTTGGCCGTTGGCCACTTTGGCCGTTGGCCAGGGCACGTTGGCCCGCGCTTTGCTGAGCGCCACGGTTTTGTTCTGCCTTTTGGGCCTGCAACATATCCTCCTCCTCCTCCTTTTCCTCCTCCTCCTCCTCCTCCTCCTCCTCCTCCTCCTCCTTTTCCTCCTCCTCCTCCTCCTCCTCCTCCTCCTCCTCCTCCTCCTCCTCCTCCTCCTCCTCGCGACGAGCCACCACGGGCCCGCCCTCCGCAGAAGGGGCCCGCACCCCTTCGGAGCCCCCCGGCGGGCGGGGCCGGGCCTCGCTGCCACGACGTCAGTCTGGCGCCCTTCTCGACACTGCGGCATGGCAGCGAGGCAGGGCTTCCAGAAAAGGGGAGGAGGAGGAGGAGGAGGAGGAGGAGAAAAAGAAGGAGGAGGAGGAGGCGGAGGAGGAGGAGGAGGCGGAGGCGGAGGCGGAGGCGGAGGCGGAGGAGGAGGAGGAGGACGAGGAGGGAGGACGAGGAGAGGGAGGACGGGGAAAGGGGGCGACGAGGAGGACGACGGCAGAAAGGGGGGGCCTTCCTTTCTCTGAAGGCTCCCCGCGGTGCTGCCAACAGGTCATCCACGGCTCGGGGGAGTTGTGGGCCTTGCACCCCCCCTGGCTTTGAAGGAAACGAGGGCGGCTGCGGGCCCCGCAGCCCTCGGTCGAGACGAGAAGCAGGGCCTGCGGAAGACGTCTCGGGGTCTGGCATTATATCCGGGAAGGAAGAGGGACGAGGGAGGAGGAGTAGGAGGCGGAGGAGGAGGAGGAGGAGGCGGAGGAGGCGGAGGAGGCGGAGGAGGAGGGGCGGGAGCCCATGCAGCATTCGAGAACATCGAAGCGCGGGATGTCCGGGCTCGGCCCATCCGCCAGGTGCCGGCCACGGCGCACCCCCGAAAGGGAGCGGCAGGGAGGCGAGAGCCGGGGAAGCGCAACATTCGAGTTTGCCAGAGTTTGGGCTCGCCGCCGCTGTTCGACTGTCCAAGAGTGGGCGTCGGCCCTCCATCTGTCGTGGGATATTTGCCGCGGGAGTTCGCGCCAAATTGTTTGTAGTGAGACAGAAAGAGAGAGAGAGAGAGAGAGAGGCGCGCCCCATCCCCCCTTTCCCTCCCTTCCCCTCCTCTCCCCCACTCCCCGCCTCCCGGCAGCACCGCGCCGTGCTCCCCACCCCGTACCCGATGGACACGGTGGAGCACCGGAAGCGGCCCGGGGGTGTCTACGAAGAGGCCTTGGGGGGAATCCTCTGGATGGGGGAGGAGGCGGCGGAGAATCAGGCAGCAGGAGGATGTTTGTTGGCCAGGCGTGCCTTTCTCTTCTACCAGCGCCAGCGCGCCATCGGGGGGCAAATCGCGCTGCGTGCCTGAAGTCGATCTTCAGGAGGGGGAAATATCGACGCTGGTTAAGCGTCATACCAAACATGCATCGAGTGCTCCTGAGCTTTAGAATGCAATCGAACACTTGTCGCCGCAACGAGCCACGTCCCAGTCTCAGGCGTTCTCTCATCCCCAGTAGGCATGGCCAGCTCTTGAGGCGTAGGAGTAGTAGTAGTAGTAGAAGAAGTAGAAGTAGAAGTAGAAGTAGAAGTAGAAGTAATAGTAGTAATAATAGTAGTAGTAGGTAGTAGTAGTAGTAGTAGTAGTAGTAGTAGTAGTAGTAGTAGTAGTAGTAGTAGTAGTAGTAGTAGTAGTAGTAGTAGTAGTAGTAGTAGTAGTAGTAGTAGTAGTAGTAGTAGTAGTAGTAGTAGTAGTAGTAGTAGTAGTAGTAGTAGTAGTAGTAGTAGTAGTAGTAGTAGTAGTAGTAGTAGTAGTAGTAGTAGTAGTAGTAGTAGTAGTAGTAGTAGTAGTAGTAGTAGTAGTAGTAGTAGTAGTAGTAGTAGTAGTAGTAGTAGTAGTAGTAGTAGTAGTAGTAGTAGTAGTAGTAGTAGTAGTAGTAGTAGTAGTACGTAGTAGTAGTAGTAGTAGTAGTAGTAGTAGTAGTAGTAGTAGTAGTAGTAGTAGTAGTAGTAGGTAGTAGTAGGTAGTAGTAGTAGGTAAGTAGTAGGTAGTAGTAGGTAGTAGTAGTAGTAAAAGTAGTAGTAGTAGTAGTAGTAAGTAGTGTCGTCGTCGTCGTCGTCGTCGTCGTCGTGTCGTCGTCGTCGTCGTCGTCGTCGTCGTCCGTCGTCGTCGTCGGTCGTCGTCGTCGTCGTCGTCGTCGTCGTCGTCGTCGTGTCGTCGTCGTCGCGTCGTCGTCGTCGTCGTCGGTCGTCGTCGTCGTCGTCGGTCGGCGTCGTAGTAGTCGTAGTAGTCGTAGTCGTAGTCGCAGTCGAGTCGTAGTAGTCGCGTAGTCGAGTCGTAGTATAGTCGTAGTAGTAGTCGTAGTAGAAGTAGTATAGTAGTAGTAGTAGTATTAGTAGTAGTAGAGTAGTAGGGAGTAGGAGTTAAGAGTAGTAGTAGTAGTAGTAGTAGTGGTGGTGGTGTGTGGTGGTGGTGGTGGTGGTGGTGGTGGTGGTGGTGGTGGTGGTGGTGGTGGTGGTGGTGGTGGTGGTGGTGGTGGTGGTGGTAGTAGTGGTAGTAGTAGTAGTGGTGGTAGTAGTAGTAGTAGTAGTAGTAGTAGTAGTCGTAGTAGTAGTATCGGTCGTTGTATTGGTCGCATGCTCCTTTGCATTGGTATTAGCTGTAATACTAGTTGTACTGGACGTACTGGCACTTGCAGTCTTCGCAAGCTTCGTACCAGCCTGAGGCTTCGCTGTAGTCGCCGTTTCTTTGACTTTGCGGACTGCTATAATCGTTGCCGTCGTAGTTGTAGTCGGCACAGAGACAGGCGGAATGATTTGGGTCGGGATTGGCGCTGCCATCATGTGATCCGCACTGGTCGAAACCAGTGTCGCGGATACAATCGCTTCCGAAAAACCACTCACGGAGGGCATCGAGTTCAGATCACAGATTGCTTGACGCACCTGCTGAGTTTTCCTTTAAATATCAAATTCGGTTACCTCACATTTTCACAAATCGTATCATCAATGGCACCGGCATTTGATAGGGGCCTTGCCACACGGCAGCGAAACGCACCGTGTCATTAACGAGTCAATGACGTTTCAAATTGCATGTAGGTAAGAGTACCGAGATAGGTTGCAAATATTTGGAATTGTTGTTCGAATCCGACAACGATTGAAGGTTTGACTCGCCCGTGTCATTCCCATCCGCCATCTTCGGTCTTCTTGGAGTTGGAGGTGGGTCTCAATAGCAGTTCCCCACACGCAGGACGCAAATTATTTTGGCAATTGCACGTTCCAAAAAAAGTGTTACGCGCATTCCGGGTGAGCATCGAGAAGCCATGCTGGGGCTAAACAATGCAACCCAGAAGTGCATATTGACCTGAACACGAAAGAGGTTGGCAGAATCGAGAACGATTGCGTCAAGCAAAATCGATTGCAAATACAGCGCGTGGACAATAAAACATGCACGTGCGAGCCAAACAAACCAACATGTGAAAAGCCGAACGGCATCGAATTCCCTTATTTGTCGGTTGATGCGGGAGCGGCAAAAGTGTTTTTGCTCCGTGATCTGTTTTTTTCACGCGGGGAAACCGCTGCGATATTGCGAAGGCAGTGCGTCCCACCACGGAGGGCCATATGATATTGAGAGAACAAGAACATGTCCCAGAAACATGAGTATGTGACCGATATTTGCGTACCAAAGTTGGTGCACTAGAGAAATCGTTGTTGTAGATTAGGCGGCGTCACGCATGGCAAAGCAACGTGCCGACCACCGACTTTTCCGACATGAGGTGGGCCACGTCTTCGCAATGAAAGAACGGCACAGGTGAACACATTCAACTGTCATTGAGCGTAGACGGGCGCGTTTACCGCATTGGATGATGTCTCTGATGTCCTGGGCGGACGCACGCAACATTGCGAGGCATTGATCATCGATGACGCCCTCCAGACACACTGTCCAGGTGACCGTTTCCTTGCACAGGGATACACTTGGCAATAGTATTTTTAGGCTGTGCAACTGGGCTCGCATTGCCAATTAGGCGAACATGTTGGGATTTACGTTGCAGACAAGTCGAACGCCTAGTGGGGTGAGAAAACAAACAGTTGTCACTTCCAAGGATCGTGCTACAGGGAATGGGGGTGACCAGCCGTGCGATCCCGATGAACGATGGCAGAGGCGCGACGAGTGCCAGGTGTGCACATCCAGCGCGCAGGCACTGAAGGTCGGCGTCGGGGGTGGGGCTTTTGCAGCTCCAATCACCAGAAGGCACAACTCTTGGTTTTTGAGATTCACCAACCCGCACTTCAAGACACAGCGCTATCCAGCAACGAAATGAGCCCCATGAAGCCGAGAAGGACCAGAAGACGACCGCCGACAAATTTGAGTGACTGCACCATCCGCTGCCGATGCACCCCAATGGGATCAGAATCAAGCACATCACATGCAAAACCCCGTTCAGCGACAATTCTACACGCGCAATTTGAGAGGCATGATGTTCGCCAACAACATGAGGGGTACGATTGCATAGCCATCGCGCGAATTCGGCGCGAAAGCTCTCGTCGCGAGAGAAGAGCTCGCCCGATAGTGCCAAACGCCGCATCAATCCTTGATCCGCGAGCCAGAACATGGAGCAGAATGGCCAACAGCATAATTTTCCTTTGGCGACAGCACATGCGGCCTTACGCTCGGCGAGCTTGTTGTTTGAGCTCATCGCCCTTGCCCAGTCTGCTCTCCTTCGCGCCGCGCAAAGTGCCCCAGTTGCAGTAAACGGGCGCGTCGCCTGCGCGCTGGCTGTTCAGCGCACTGATCGATCAATAAAGAACGCATGTCCGCGCGAACGCGCTCATCTGCCGCGCGGGCCCTGCAAAAGCACCCGCCATCGGAACGTCGCTCGCAAAGTTTCCGATGCAAGATTTTCGAACGCAACGCCGTCTGACGCCGCGGAAGGAGCCAAAACACGCTTCTAGATATGGCGCCCATCATCTGCGAGATTGACCCAATGGTTTAAATCGCGGCGAAGATATGAACTTCTCCGGGCGCACATAAACGGGCGTCCGTTTTCTGTTTTTCCGCGGGGGGCCCGGAGGCCATCGCAGCGGTGATCTCTGAGACCAGGACCAGATGGAGACGCGCATTCCGTCGCCATTGCGCCGTTTTGTCCGATCGTTTTCTTCGAACGGCAGTTCGGCGCAGAAGATTCCCGACGGCAGTTTGCATTCGCCAAGACCAAGCGAGACATCGCGCAATTCTGAGGCGCAAGAATCTGGCAGCGACTAACACTTAATCAAGCCTCTTGACGAGCAATTTACCATCCGGACGCGCCCGCCCGACGTCTTGCGACCGCGGCGGGCGCGGCGGAAGTTGCGACGCAGACCGACGCCGAGAGCGCGGGGAATGCGACCCAGCATGGCAGGTCGGCGTTTTTTCTTTGGATAAGGAAGCGAAATGGGGCGGCAAAAGACAGTGGGGAAATTTGAACAGCGTTTCCCCGACAGGAGCGCATCGTTCTTTTCGTGGCGACAGAGAGGCCTTTCATGCGAATGCAGAGCGGCAACCTCAAACGACAGATAGAAGGCGACAGCCAGGCACATGCATCGCGCGAGGTGGGATCTTGAAATGGCGCGCGCCCCGCAAGTAATGAAATTATGGTCGGCCACAGTAGAGTCGACGCAGTTTAATTTGAAAGATCCCCTTGGGTTCTCGACGCAGTGGGATGGCGATTATTCGCTGGTAAATTATCGCGCGCGTCGGCGCGCTGGATCGCCAAGTTATTTGTCCACTGCGGGGTTAGTAGCGCAAACGCAGAGACCATCAGAAACGAATTTGGGCTTGGTCCGGGCATTGAAATTGCCAATCCGCATGCAAACCCATGGAAAACAGCGCATAGTAAAAACATGTGAGCGGTGGAATATCGTTTTTTGCGCAAACAGATGCCGACAAAGTGGGCGAGCCAACGTGGCGCCCTCTCCCCAGATGCCGGATGGCGCAAGCCATTCAACTGCGCAGGCGACCGAGAAGCAGATCGATTAGGAGAATGATTACTTTTGCTGCTTAATAGTAAACATACCATGTGAGCGAATCGATCGCATCACAGGCATCAAATCAAATGGACACCCACGTCCAGGATGTCATGTTAACGAACTGCAGGAGTGGAGTTGCCTGAGCGTCCACGCTGAATCCCAGCTGACATTGCTTTTCTCAGCATGCAGGTTTTGGTTGGCATTGATGCAATAAACGTAGTGTCAGACCTA